AACGTCTCACACACACACGCCTCACACACACGTCTCACACACACGTCTCACAACGTCTCACACACACACGCCTCACACACACGTCTCACACACACGTCACACACACACACGTCTCACACACATGCCTCACACACAAGTCTCACACACACGTCTCACAGACACGTCTCACACACACACACACGTCCCACACACACACACGCCTCACACACACGTCTCACACACACGTCTCACACACACGCCTCACACACACGTCTCACACACACGCCTCACACACACGTCTCACACACACGTCTCACACACACGTCTCACAAAGTCTCACACACACACACGCCTCACACACACGTCTCACACACACGTCACACACACGTCACACACACGTCTCACAACGTCTCACACACACACGCCTCACACACAACGTATCACAACGTCACACACACACGTCACACACACACACGTCTCACACACACGTCTCACGCACACGTCTCACACACACACGTCTCACAACGTATCACACCGTCTCACACACACGTCTCACACACACGTCACACACACGTCACACACACACGTCACACACACGTCTCACACACACGTCACACACACACACGTCACACACACGTTTCACACACACGTCTCACACACACGCACGCCATAGACGAGCCCATACCATTAGTGGACCGAGTAATTTACCTGTAGTGTAGCGTGACACCAAAAGCAGAAAAAGACACACCACGGTGTTTACATTGACGCAGCACTGTTTAGAGAGCAGTCTATAGGCAGCGTATAGAGCACAGCATATTAACTATTACACTATTAACTATTTTGTGTTTTACCAGGCAAGGCCCACTGAGCTATACAGCTAATTTTCAGAAGCGAACTGGCCACAGATGATAGCTTAACAAAGCGGCTTATCACGTGGAAATGTATAGCAGCCAAATACTCGAAACGCGTGATGTTGATGTTAAATGTGGAGTGAAAAACCGGAGGATCCGGAGAAAAATCCACGCGACCAAGGTGAGAGAGAGAGACACCGCAAACTCCAAATATACAGCAGCAGCAGGCGTCAGGGCCGGGATCGAACCCACGACCTCCTGCATACCAGGCGAGGTGGTTAACATCTCCTAGCCACCGTGGCGTTCCATATGTTGAGTGCAGCGTTAGTGTGTTGAGTGGTGACCTCACTGCGTTGCGAGCCAGGGCACGGCTGACATCAGTGGCGAGTGGTTCCTGCTCCCATCCCTTCACCAACCCCGCACTGGTCAGCGTGGTGAAGTATGGTCAAATCACCCCCCCCCCCCCCGCCCCACCACGCCATACTCCAGGACTCACACGACATAAGGAGGACTTCATCCAGCAGTGGATTGACAAAGCGCCGTATATTAAGTCCCCTTTAGCTAAGAAGGCATCACAAAGCCCGATGATTCCCTCTTCAGGAGGCTGCTGCTGCATTGTCGATGCTTTGGTCAATAATAGTTTGGTTCTTGACCCATGGCGCACACACGCGCGTGTCACGTGGACGCAACTCTCAAAGCTCCGCACGGATAGATCCACGGATCCGTTGCTGCGCCGCCATCTCCCGGCCAATCGTTGTTGGAATATGAGAGGCGAGGTTGAGGAGGAGGTGGTGGTGTGTGTGTTTGTGTGTCTGTGTGTGTGTTTGTGTGTCTGTGTGTGTGTGGGGATCCGTAGTGTAGCAGTTAGCGCACCGCGCTACGAACCTGGAGACCGGGGTTCGATTCCCGCTCACGGCCAACACCGGCGACGATTATTTGAACCGGTCCTGGGCCTCCCCTAGGTTGACTCAGCCTTAAAATAAGTACCTGGTGCGGTGCGTAAAAACATCGCCACTTGGGGAGACAAAGGCGGTCGGGCGTGGTGTTGGCCACCCACCCCCTCGTGTGCCGTGCCGACCCTTCATAGGTGCTCGCTAGCAGCACTTGCCCCAACACTCCACACACTCACGCCACCCACCCACGTTTGTCTTTGTGTGTGTGTGTGAGAGTGTGTGGCGTGTTGGATGGTTTTAGTGGAGTGAAACGGGGTCACAGCGGCACTTTGTACAAGTGTAATTCACATTTCCGACTCGAACTCCTAATATATCACACTTGAGAGGCCTATTGGGACAATGTGATCGTCACTGTGAACATGTATTTCGCGTTATATGAACATGTATTTCGCGTTATAAAAAACCACAACAATATTGTAACAGTTCAACCAAGTGGTTGATGGTCAAGGTGATGGTATCGTTGTCTTCTCGAAACGTTCGTTCGCTGGAGCGAGATGTTGTCTCCTTCGCCTGGTATGCAGGACGTTCGATTGTGCCTCTGACGCCTGCTGCTGTATATGTGGAGTTTGCCTGTCTCTCTGTCTCTCTCTCTCTCTCCTCCGTGATCGCGTGGAATTTTCTCCAGGTCCTCCGGTTTTCCCCCTCCACATTTTGGAAGCACGCGTTTCGAGTATTTGGTTGCTATACATTTCCACACGATAAGCCACTTCGTCGAGTTATCATTTGTGGTCAGGTCGCTTGTTAAAATAGCTGCATTGCCTAGTGTGCCTTATCTGGTAAAGTAAAACATTGTGAGATAGTAAGTTGGGCTCTTGGCTGCTGGCCATTGAACAAAGACGGCGGTGGTCACCGCATCGAGCGCTTTCAGATGCGCCTCTGCGGCCGTCTGGAACGTTCTTCCTTCCCGTATTAAGGGAAGCCACTGGGAGCTCTGCACTTTTAAATCACCCAGAATGAACACTCATTTGTTTAGAACTGATTTTCGCGTTTAGTTTGCTGTCCTTCCCCCGCACCTCCGATGAGCGCGGCTGGTGGCTACGTAGGGTGCGAAAGAAGTTCAACATTCATCCAGGTGCACACATCAGCAGGGACTCAACCGAGGCGAGGAGGAACTTGGCCGCGTTTCCCGCGCACCCTCCCGGCAGAGGCCCTATCCGAGCGCCGTTGTCTCATCGCGGCCTAGCGTGAGATCGACCGTAATTGTCACTAATGATGATATTATCACCAACAAAATGCCTCCTTAATTAATTGAACGGTGCTGTCCGAGTACAAACGCAATGTTGAACACCGTCATGGAATCTAAGCGGATGCAAGAATTTGTTTAAAAAACAAATCCTTACCGTATTCATTTGTACGTGAATTTATGTTGTACCGTATATACACGAAAGCAGTCGCCTTTTTTTACATAATACACAAACTGGCGCACAAATAAGACAAAGATCCCCCGTATAGTCTTCAACAGACTGCTGAGGGCAAGTGCTTTGAACGAGCACCTATGAAGGTCGGCTCGGGACACGAGGGGGTGGGTGGCCAACACCACGCCCGGCCGCCTTTGTCTCCCCCCCCAAGCTGACGTTCTTACACATTGCACCAGGTGCTCAGTTGAGGCTGAGTCGACCTAGGGGAGGCCCATGACCGGTCCTATTACATATCACTCGCCACTGATGTTAGCCGTCAAACATGTTGGGCAGTGCCCTAAGGGTAACAACATTGGCGATACGCTGTCCACAATTACACATCAAAGACAAAGACCCCCCCGTGTAGCCTTAGCAGACTGTTGGGGCAAGTGCTGTTAGCGAGTAGCAACACCTATGAATTCTAATTAAACATCACATCACACACACACGCTGCGAGTCTACATGTCTGACCTCGACGCAGCCGAGGTCAGACATGGCGACACAACCCAAGCACACAAAACGGACGCTGCGAAAATTCCAACGAGGATGCATTTTCGTGAATCCACTGCTGGATGAAGATCTCGCCACATCGTGTCCGTCACGGGGGGTTCGTCTACCCACACGTGTCCACGCTGGTCAGTGCGGGTTGGTGCTGGATTGCAAATTGGGATTGTGCGATTGTCTCCGTGGTCAGCCGTGACCGGGAATTGAATTCAGGTCAAGGTGTTCAGGTCCATGTGTTCAGGTAAAGATGTTCATGTCAAGGTGTTTAGGTCAAGATGTTCAGGTCATGATGTTCATGTCAAGGTGTTCAGGTCCATGTGTTCAGGTCAAGATGTTCATGTCACGGTGTTCAGGTAAAGATGTTCACGTAAAGATGTTCAGGTCAGGATGTTTGTTTAGGTAAAGGTGTTCAGGTCAAGGTGTTCAGGTTAAGGTGTGCAGGTCAAGATGTTCAGGTCAAGGTGTTTAGGTCAAGATGTTTAGGTAAAGGTGTTCAGGTCAAGATGTTCAGGTCAGGATGTTTGTTTATGTCAAATGTTCAAGTTAAGGTGTTCAGGTAAATATGTTTGTTTAGGTCAAGATGTTCAGGTAAAGATGTTCAGGTCAGGATGTTTGTTTAGGTCAAGGTGTTCAGGTCAAGGTGTTCAGGTCAAGGTGTTCAGGTCAAAGGTGTTCAGGCTGGGGTGTTCAATCAAGGTGTCCATAACGCAGTCCGCTAATCACAACGCAACTCTCTTTGTTACGATTTTCAGCCGAGGTCGAAAGCGTTAATGACCCTCCCCGCCCACACTCCTCCCCCGTCCGTTTAGCCCCCTCGATGCGGCCAAACCACCACCACAACCACCACTACAACCACCACCACAACCACCACCACAACCACCACCACCACCACAACCACCACCACAACCACCGCAACCACCACCACAACCACCACCACAACCACCACCACAACCACCACCACCACCACAACCACCACCACCATCACAACCACCACTACCACAACCACCACAACCACCACCACCACAACCACCACTACCACCACCACCACCACAACCACCACCACCACCACCACCACAACCACCACCACCATCACAACCACCACTACCACAACCACCACAACCACCACCACCACCACAACCACCACCACACGAAGAGCGCTGTCGTCCGTGGTGGGAACCGACATAATTTGCAACACAAGATGAGAATGATTCATAATAATAATTATTCTTATTAACATCCTCCAAACCCTAACTCCTCAATCTTCCCTCTCTCCACCTCCAATCCACCGCCATCACCACCACAACCACGACACGCAGGGCGCTCTCGTCCGTGGTGGCGCTGGGTGCCAACACCATCTGCAACAAGATCCCGGGGCTGGTGCCGCGGCAGCGCGCAGTGTGCAGGAACCGCCCGGACGCGATCATCGCGCTGGGTGAGGGGGCGCAGCGCGCCCTTGACGAGTGTCGCTACCAGTTCCGGCAGGGCCGCTGGAACTGCTCGGGGCTGGGCGAACACACCGTGTTCGGCCAGGACATACGCGTAGGTACGATTCGTTATTGATCGATTATTATTGATTGGTGATCGATTAGACGGTTATCGTGATTATGCGGTCGTGGTGCTGTAGGGAGGGGTGTGGCGCGTACAGAGCGTTCGGCCAGGACATACGCGTAGGTACGATTCGTTATTGATCGATTATTATTGATTGGTGATCGATTAGACGGTTGCCGTGATTATGCGGTCGTGGTGCTGTCGGGAGGGGTGTGGCGCGTACAGAGCGTTCGGCCAGGACATACGCGTAGGTACGATTCGTTATTGATCGATTATTATTGATTGGTGATCGATTAGACGGTTGCCGTGATTATGCGGTCGTGGTGCTGTCGGGAGGGGTGTGGCGCGTACAGAGCGTTCGGCCAGGACATACGCGTAGGTACGATTCGTTATTGATCGATTATTATTGATTGGTGATCGATTAGACGGTTGCCGTGATTATGCGGTCGTGGTGCTGTCGGGAGGGGTGTGGCGCGTACAGAGCGTTCGTCCAGGACATACGCGTAGGTACGATTCGTTATTGATCGATTATTATTGATTGGTGATCGATTGGATGGTGAATGATGAATGGTACTGAGGAATGCTCAGATAGAACGCCGTGTTCAGACAGGCATATTCATCGGTTGTGACTGATATAATGTGTTAGCGACGATTGATTGGATAATTAATGATTAGTGGTTGATGGATTTATGAGTCGTGATTGATGCTGATTGGCCGGTAATTGTACGACAGTCCTTGTATTATTGGATGTTTTATCGAGTCATTAGAGAATGCAAATTGATATTGGACAGTGAGTTATCGGATGATGACACTGATGATTGATAGTGATGACGAATGATTGGGTGATTATGATCGATTGGAAAATCGACGATTTGATAATTGGTTGGATGTTTTACGACCATGATGAGTGATCGTTATGATGATTATTTGTTAGACGATTGGTGATTCATCACTATGATGATGATCATAATTAATTGATCACCACACCAAAGCAATACGTTCCTTAAAATCTGAGATCCATAAAAAGCTCCCCCATACCCCCCATCCCCACCCAACATTTGCCAAACTGCCGCAAGTCAACAACTGCCATTGAGGATAACTAATCTATCTTCTCAACGAATGACCGTATGAATGGACAAATTCATGCGATGGAGTTTTCATCTCACTCCAGGAATGAGATCACTTCCCTGAGCTCAACATCAGCAGCAGCGGCAGCAGTGGCGGCTACACGAGGATTAGTCCCTGGGTGCCGGATTTCACACCCCAGTGATCTCCCTGAGTCTCACATCCCCTTGACACTCTCCGCCTTAAATCCCCCCCGCCCTTAACCCCCCCCCCCGCCACCGCCATTCCCTAACATCCCAACTCTCGTCAGACGCCAAAGATATCTAAAAAAACCCTTTCATTTATCTTACCAGGTAAGGCCCACTGAGCTATTTTTCAGAAGTAACCTGGCGATCACAAATGATAGCCCAACGAAGTGACTTATCATCACGTGGAAATGTCTAGCAGCCAAATACTCCAAATGCGTGATGTAGGTTCTAAATGTAAAGCGAAAAACCGGAGGACCCGGAGAAAAATCCACGCGACCATGGCGGGGGGTGGGGGGGAGAGAGCAGGCGTCAGGGTCGGTATAGAACTCACAATCCTCCTGCTTACATACACGAGGTAGTTAACATCTCTTAGCCACCGTGATGATGAGAGAGAGAGAGACACGCAAACTCCAAATATACAGCAGGTGTCAGGGTCGGGATCGAACCCAAGACCTCCTGCATACCAGGCGAGGCAGTTCACATCTCCTAGCCACCGTGATGATGATGAGAGAGAGAGAGAGACGCGGACTCCAAATATACAGCAGCAGGCACCGTCAGGGTCGGGATCGACCCCACGGACCCTCCTGCATACCAGGTGAGGCAGTTCACATCTCCTAGCCACCTTGGCGGCGTGCTGCGTTTGAACCTCCGCATATCGCTACCCCCCCCCCACAACCACCACCACAACCACCACAACCACCACCACCACCACAACCACCACCACCACCACCACCCCCGACGTGCCCGCAGGCAGCAGGGAGGCGGCGTTCACCCACGCCATCCTGGCGGCCGGCGTGGCGCACGCGCTCACGGCCTCGTGCAGCCGAGGCGCCCTCAGCGACTGCGGCTGCGACCGCGCCAAGCAGGGGGCGTACAGCGCGCGCGAGGGCTGGCGCTGGGGCGGCTGCTCCGCCGACCTGCAGTACGGCCTCCACTTCTCGCGACTCTTCGTGGACGCGCGCGAGGTGCGCCAGAGCGCGCGCACGCTCATGAACCTGCACAACAACGAGGTGGGGCGCAAGGTGAGCGACGTGGAGCGACCCGCGCCCGTGCGCTTCTCCGTGATCCGCCCGCGCGCTTCTCCGTGATCCGCCCGCGCGCTTCTCCGTGATCCGCCCGTGCGCTTCTCCGTGATCCGCCCGCGCGCTTCTCCGTGATCCGCCCGTGCGCTTCTCCGTGATCCGCGCGCCCCGTCGCTAAAGTCGAAGCGGCCGCGCGGGGGCCGGGAGTCGTCGCCCGGTAAAACCGTAGCCACGTCGTTGTTGTTGTCGTTGTTGTTGTCGCTGTCGCTGTTGTTGTAGTTTGTTGTTGTTTGTTTGTGACGTTGGACCAACGCTTCTTGCTTACTGGTTGTCAATTTTTTGCTGAATGAATGTGTTCTTGGTTCTTTCGGTAAAGTCGCGTAGATAGAAACACAAACATCTAAACTAAAGTCACGTGACTTTGCCGAAAGAACCAAGAATGTGAATCACGAAAGCTTTAAATTAAAATCTAAACTAAAGGCAAAAAAACCCACGACGTTTCGATCGCAATACAAGCGGTCTTCTTCAGGTAGAGAGAAACAAATAAATGAATGCTTACTCAAACGAGGCGGGGGGAGGGGGGCGTGGTTTTGGTGCGGGCCCTACACCACACGGTGCCCATTCGGCCTCCCACCCAACTTCACCCCGCTTAGCGGTGGGCATCACTTGCCATCAGAGCCGTCCATAGGGCTACGGCAAATCGGGGTGACCGCCCCGGGACCCGCGGTTTGGGGGATGGATGGGGGGGGGGGGGGGGTGCCCGTGCTTCGGCGTCACGGTGTCAGATGCAATACTTCCAGTGTAGTTTGAAGGCGCGTGCGAGTACGCAGACTCGGCACTAGCCAGGGATGGAAGCAGCAGGAGGAGGAGGAAGGGGAGAGTGGAGCTTGCCAGCGAATAGAAGCAGAGAGATGACGAGGAGCAGGGAGAGGAGGGTGTGAGCGAGTGAGCAGAGAGAGTTGACGCGTGTGAGCGAGCATAGGAGGGGATGACTCGACACGCGCGTCACAGAGAGAAGCACACACGTCACAGAGAGGAGCGCACGCATCACAGAGAGGAGCACGCGCGTCACAGAGAGAAGCACACACGTCACAGAGAGGAGTGCAGGCGCGCCACAGAGAGGAGCGCACGCGTCACAGAGAGGAGCGCACGCGTCACAGAGGGGAGCACGTGCGTCACAGAGAGGAGCGCACGCGTCACAGAGAGGAGCACACACGTCACAGAGAGGAGCGCACGCGTCACAGAGAGGAGCGCACGCGTCACAGAGAGGAGCGCACGCGTCACAGAGGGGAGCACGTGCGTCACAGAGAGGAGCGCACGCGTCACAGAGAGGAGCGCACGCGTCACAGAGAGGAGCGCACGCGTCACAGAGAGGAGCACACGCGTCACAGAGAGGAGCGCACGCGTCACAGAGAGGAGCGCACGCGTCACAGAGAGGAGCGCCCGCGCGTCACAGAGAGGAGCGCACGCGTCACAGAGAGGAGCGCACGCGCGTCACAGGGAGGGCAGCAGAGATCCGACACGATGATGATTCTGGGGAGGGGAATCCGCGAGAGTGTGGACTCGACGCGTACCACGCAGCGGAGCTTGGGGGGACTCCACGAGTTGTGGGGGGCCCACACAGTGGAGTTTTCCCTGGGTCCCGCACCCCACACGACGGCTCTGTTGACCCCCCCCTATCTGAGAGGAGCTGGAGCCAGACCTAGCACAGTAGTTTTGTTTATAAGCGAATTCCATCGTTGTTAAAATGAATGTCTATCTAGTCGGTAATTGCGTGAATGTCTGAAAGCCACTTGGGGATAATTACCATTGGCATGATCAACGCCTATTACTCATCATCATTGCTGCTCTGCCCTCCATCGTCCCCATTCTCTCCATCATCACCATCATCTCCATCATCACCATCATCACCATCATCACCATCATCTCCATCATCTCCATTCTCTCCATCATCACCATCATCCCCATTCTCTCCATCATCACCATCATCCCCATTCTCTCCATCATCACCATCATCACCATCATCTCCATCATCTCCATCATCCCCATCGTCACCATTCTCTCCATCATCACCATCATCTCCATCATCCCCATTCTCTCCATCATCCCCATCATCACCATCCTCTCCATCATCACCATCATCTCCATCATCCCCATTCTCTCCATCATCACCATCATCCCCATTCTCTCCATCATCTCGATCATCTCCATCATCACCATCCTCTCCATCATCACCATCATCACCATCATCTCCATCATCCCCATTTTCTCCATCATCACCATCGTCCCCATTCTCTCCATCATCTCCATCATCCCCATCATCACCATTCTCTCCATCCTCTCCATCCCCATTCCATCCCCGTCCTCCTCACACCGCCGCACCGCAGGTGCTGCACGAGCGCATGAAGCTAGAGTGTAAGTGCCACGGCGTGTCTGGCTCGTGCACGACGCGCACCTGCTGGACCACGCTGCCAAACTTCCGCGAGATGGGCCACGCGCTGCGCGAGCGCTACCACGCCGCGGCGCACGTGGAGGCCGTCGTGGCGGGCCGCTACCATCGCCCGGCCTTCCTCAAGCTCAAGAAGACGCGCGGCGGCGGCGGCGGCAGCAGCGGCAGCAGCAGCAGCAGCTTCCGCAAGCCGGCCGACGGCGACCTCGTCTACCTCGAGCGCTCGCCCAACTACTGCGAGGAGGACGCGGCCGCCGGCTCGCCGGGCACGCGCGGCCGCCTCTGCGACCGCGCGTCGCCGCTGACCGACGGCTGCGAGCTGCTGTGCTGCGGACGCGGCTACAACACGCACCAGCACACGCGCTCGTGGCAATGCAACTGCAAGTTCCACTGGTGCTGCTTCGTCAGGTGCAACACGTGCAGCGAGAGGGCCGAAGTGTACACGTGCAAGTGACGCGAGGGGTCGCACCGAGGGGAGTGGGGGGGTGGGGGGGTTAAAGTGGCAGCAGGAGCAGGAGTGGAGCTTGACAGCGGGCAGAAGAAGAGAGGAGGAGGATGAGGGTGTGAGTGAGTGAGCACGGGGGGGTTGGGGGAGGAGGGGGAACTCAACACGCGTGTCACAGAGAGGAGCACACGCGTGTCACAGAGAGGAGCACACGCGTGTCACAGAGAGGAGCACACGCGTGTCACAGGGAGGAGCACACGCGTGTCACAGGGAGAAGCACACGCGTGTCACAGGGAGAAGCACACGCGTGTCACAGGGAGGAATACACGCGTGTCACAGGGAGGAGCACACACGTGTCACAGGGAGGAGCACACGCGTGTCACAGGGAGGAGCACACACGTGTCACAGGGAGGAGCACACGCGTGTCACAGGGAGAAGCACACGCGTGTCACAGGGAGGAACACACGCGCGTCACAGGAGCACACGCGCGTCACAGGAGCACACGCGTGTCACAGAGAGGAGCACACGCGAGGGAGGGATGGAGGGATGACTCTGCGTGTGGGGAGTTCGTGGACTCGGCACGTGCGAGAATGAAGTGGGGGTGGTGGTGGTGGTGGCGCTCGCGAGAGGGAGAGCAGAAATCCGACACGATGATGAATCTGTGAATCTGGGGAGGGGAGTCGGCGAGGGTGTGGGCTCGAGGCGCACCACTCAGCGGAGTGAGGACAGAGGAGCCGAGGAGATTTCAGATCGCGGTCGCTCCAAAGCGATGCTCACGTACGCTGGGACTTACTTGCTGGGCATCACTAAAACTGAACTTTTTATTTTATTTTACCAGGCTTTATGACGTGGAAATGTATGACAGACAAAGACTCTGAACGCGTGGATGTTGATTCTAAATGTGAAAGGGAAAGGAAAATCGAAGAACCCAGAGAAAAATGTCGCGCTACCACGGGGAGAGAGATTCAAACTCCAAATATACAGCAGCAGCAGCAGGCGTCAAGGTCGGGATCGCACCCACGACCTCTTGTGTACCAGGCGAGGCAGTTAACATCTCCTAGCCACCGTGGACGGCTACTCTCACGTACGCATGGAGAGAAGATGCTGATGATGTTAATAATGAAGGGGCGGCAGCGAGGAGAGAGGGTCGCGTGGAGGGTGATGATGATGAGGTTTTTATTCGATGCCTTCGATCGCCAGGCAATTTGTGACATCGTCTCGAACAATCCAAAGTGCCCAACTGCTTTTAAAATACCTCTTATACTAACCGATTAAAATATTGAAGTAGAATAAAAAAAACCCGAAAAACTTGAATTTCAAGCGAATCATGGGTCTGCAACAAAGTCCATGCAGTTGTTGAATGTCAGAGACGCTGCGCAAAGCAAAGGAAACGTCGTCGGCATTGAATTGTTCGCCCGCGTTTGTGTGCGGGCGACACGACAACTTAAAACAACTTCAGTGTAGGAAACAAAAAATAAATAAAAAATAATCACGGTAATAAAAACAAACATTGGATGTCGTTTTAAAAAAATGGTATTTGTAGTTTTAGAAAAAAAAAATGCGGCTTACACTATTTATTTGATAAGTCAGCGGTTGAATCCACACGGGAATCTGAATACACCGTCACCATCACAGCGCGGGTAACGAAAATAGCCCCGTCAGTGAGAGGAGCGTACAGAGGAGTCCTGATGTCTTGTGACCACCCCCCCCCCCCGTTTAATACTCTATAAAACGTAATATTTTATTGAAAGTAAGGGTTATTTAACACAGACATGAATATGCAAATTTAATTAACAAAAATTGGGGGTCAATTAATAGGGGGGTCACAAGACACCTGGACCACCCTGCGATTTACAGGCATTTATCGCTTTTTATCAAGTACACATTACCTCGCTATCTCAATCACAGTCCGTGTTGGTTGTTGCACAGTGTCCCAAGAACAAATTGCGCCGCTTTTCGCGATCACATTGGGGGCTTATTCACTTCTCGCTGAATATTTTCCCGTGCAGTCGATCGCAGACCGGGGGCCGGTGTGGCACAGGACTCGTAGCCAAGCCATGGCCGGAGCGCAGTGCGGTGCCATGTATACTCGATGTGGTGTGACGGGGCGTGGAAACATAGTTCCCTGACATTAAACCGCAGTGATGAGAAGGAAAACTGGAACTGTTTGGACACACGTGTGTAGTAGGATGGACAACAACTGGAACATTAAAAGTGTTGTTGTTGTTTCGATTTAAAGCTTTCGTGACTGCAAGGATTCATCTTCTTTGGTTCTTTCGGTAAAGTCACGTAGAATGAGAATAAAATAATAAAATAAAACAATAAAATTCTCACGACGTTTCGGCCACAACGGCTACTTGTGTTGTGGCCGAAACATCGTGAAACATTTTTGTTTTATTTTATTATTTTATTTTCATTCTACGTGACTTTACCGAAAGAACCAAGGAAGATGTTGTTGTTGTTATTATTGTTCTGTAAAAATGAAAGGCACCGGAACGAGAGAAAGACCGAACAAGCGAGCACGGCTTGACGGCGATTCAAGAGATTGGTGTCAGAGAGTTGTGGGCACGCTGTTTGAGCGTATTGGCACAATATAGAGAGGAAAGTGGCAATAAGTGGCGAAATTGCGCAGTGGACACCTAACGGGGCTATCTGCCCGTGGATCGCGATGATGATGATGATGATTATGAAATGAAGCCCTCATTATCTTCACCCTGTTATCTGTATCTCTCCAGCGCCGGAAGCAGGGACTTAATTTCTCACCAGATAATTTCTGGAACGCTGCTGAGGCTGGCTCAGAGTGGAGATGGCGCTGTGTAACAAAAAAAATTGTTCTCGGGTAGTAAGTGTTATTTCCTAATTGCTTATGCCTCAAGTGTACAGAAAATGGATATTATTCCCCAAAAACTTTGCTTTTGTGACCAGGACATTGATTTTTTTTGCAATGTACCTATTTTCAATGTGTGCATTTGTGTATTTCGTTCACATAAAGTCCTGGTCACAAAAGCAAAGTTTGTGGGGAATAATAACAACCATTTTCTATACCTTTTCAGGCATGAGCAATTGAAAAAAAATAACACTTAGTACCCAGGAGCAGAAATTGTGTTGCATCATGTGATATCGGCGTAAGGCACCACCCACTGGAGTACAAACGCACACCTGTCCCATGATGGCAATCCTCTGATTATTATAGGCGAGAGGGGATTGCGGCGGGCCAATACTATTCGTGGACGAGGGTTCTGGACCGTTCCGGCTGAGGGTTTACGCACCAGGTCTGACCCTCGAGATCAGGGAAATTTCGCTGCCATAAAAAAATAAACCGTGAATGTAGCCACTTGGCCGGAGCGGACACGGACTACGCAGGCCCCCCACCGCCCCCCGCCCCCCCGCCCCCCCCCCCCCAAACACCTAAACAAGTGCTCACTTTGGCTGCCTCTCTAGGGAATTGCGAAACCCGAGACGGCCTTTATTTAATTGGCTCTCAGTCATCATGCTCCACCTCGCACACAAAGATCACCCGTGTAGCCCTAAGCGGAGTGTTGGGGCAAGTGCTGTTAGCGAGCACCTATGAAGGCCGGCACGGCACACGGGGGGGGGAGGGGTTGGGTGGCCAGCACTGTGCCCGACCGCCTTTGTCTCCCCAGTTGGCGATGCTTACACACCGCACCAGTTACTCATTTGAGGCCGAGTCGACTTAGGGGAGCCCCAGGACCGGTTCAGATAATCGTCACTGGCCGTAAAAGGGAATCGAATTTGCGTCACCAGGTTCGTAGCGCAGCGCCTTAACCATCACACTACCGCTCCCCACAGACACTATATTCTATGTACACACACGCACAACACATTTGTAGAAACTGCAGAAACTAAACTGTGCTTGGGACTGTTCTATTTTTGGGGGGGGGGGGCAGCACCACGCCCGGCCGCCTTTGTCTTCCAAGTTTGAGGATACTCAGGGGAGGCCCAGGACCGGTTCAGATAATCGCCACTTGCCCCAACATCCAATTGAGGCTATACGGGTGATCTTTGCATTTGTCGTTGCCCTCACGAAGGTACCTGGAAAGTTGTATTCGTCCTTCAGCGAGGGAGAGGCTCCCACCCCCCACCCAGACTGCCTCGCCACGGCCGCTCTCTGCGATCCGTCCTGTGGCGCACAGCGCGAGTTGCCAACCACAACCACCACAACCACCACCACCACAACCACCACAACCACCACCACAACCACCACCACAACCACAACCACCACCACAACCACAACCACCACAACCACCACCACCACCACAACCACCACCACAACCACAATCACCACTACCACCACCACCACCACAACCACCACCACCACAACCACCACCACCACAACCACCACCATCACAACCACCACCACAACCACCACCACCACCACAACCACCACCACCACTACCACCACAACCACCACCACAACCACCACAACCACCACCACAACCACCACAACCACCACAACCACCACCACAACCACCACCACAACCACCACAACCACCACCACAACCACCACCACCACAACCACCACCATCACCACAACCACCACTACCACCACAACCACCACCACCACCACACCCACCACCACAACCACCACCACAACCACCACAACCACAACCACCACCACAACCACCACCACAACCACAACCACCACCACCACAACCACCCCCACAACCACAACCACCACAACCACCACCACCACAACCACCACCACAACCACCACCACAACCACCACGACAACCACCACCACAACCACCACCACCACTACAACCACCACCACAACCACCACCACAACCACCACCACAACCACCACCACAACCACCACAACCACCATCACAACCACCACCACCACAACCACCACCATCACCACAACCACCACTACCACCACAACCACCACCACAACCACCACCACAACCACCACCACAACCACCACAACCACAACCACCACCACAACCACCACCACCACCACCACAACCACCCCCACAACCACAACCACCACAACCACCACCACCACCACAACCACCACCAAAACCACCACAACCACCACCACAAACACAACCACCACAACCACCACCACAACCACCACCACCACAACCACCACCACAACCACCACCAAAACCATCACCACAACCACCACCACCACCACCACCACAACCACCACCACAACCACCACCACAACCACCACGACAACCACCACCACAACCACCACCACCACTACAACCACCACCACAACCACCACCACCACAACCACCACCACCACAACCACCACCACAACCACCACCACAACCACCACAACCACCACCAAAACCACCACCACAACAACCACCACAACCACCACCACAACCACCGCCACAACCACCACCACAACCACAACCACCACGACCACAACCACCAGCACCAAAACCACCACAACCACCCCAACCACCACCACCACCACAACCACCACAACCACCACCACCACCACAACCACAACCACCACAACCACCACACCACAACCACCACAACCACCACAACCACCACAACCACCACCACAACCACCACCACAATCACCACCACAACCACCACAACCACCACCACAACCACCACAACCACCACCACAACCACCACCACAACCATAACCACCACCACAACCACAACCACCACCACCACAACCACCACCACCACAACCATAACCACCACAACCACCACCACAACCACCACAACCACCACAACCACCACCACAACCACCACCACTACCACCACCACTACCACCACCACCACCACCACAACCACCACCACAACCACAATCACCACTACCACCACCACAACCACCACCACAACCACCACCACAACCACCACCACCACAACCACCACCACCACAACCACCACCACCACAGCCACCATGGTTGGTAGAGGCCATCCCTAGGGGGTAGACGGCGGCTC